GTACGTCGTGCTAATCTGTTCGATTCCACAGTTCTTCCTGCGCTCTGTTACGGGTCGGAGACTTGGGTGACCAGTGCATCCACGTCAAAGGCTTTAAATACAAGTCACAGAGCGCTCGAGCGATGTCTTTTGAGGTTCAACCGACTCACGCAATATCGAGCCGGACTCCACAGCTCCGATATGCGCAGAATGTCTCGACTCCGCGATCCGGTGGAATACATGAAGAACGCAAAATTTCGGTGGGCTTGTCATATAATGAGAAGAGATGATGACAGATGGACAAGAAGAACAGTCGAGTGGGCTCCCATAGGATCTACACGATCTAAGGGTAGGCCTGCTGCGAGATGGGGGATGTGCTTGTCGATCACGTGAAACAGCTGCGACAGCAGCTGAATGACTCCTCACATCGCCATCTTCGTCGAATCCTGAATCTACCTTGGATGGCGATCGCGAAAGACAGAAGCGAATGGTTTGTTGCTGGTGCTCGCACATGAGTGAAGACGAGCTGTATAAGTATAAGTATAAGAATTTGATACAGAAGCAGTGAACAGTTTTCTAGAACTGACAGATTGTTCTTAGACATACATTTTGAGTTGGAGTTGTAGATTTCTTCCAAATTCGATAAAAAAGACAAGTCTTCCACTGCTTCGTTGTTCTTCACAACCAGACGTCCACCTATTTTTTTGATATGCGACAGTTTCTCAATTTCCGTGGGCAGCTCTGAATGATAAATTGATTAGCTTTTTTTCTGTTTGTGATCTAGAAGCCTCTCACCAACCTTTTAACCCTTCAATTCTAAGGTCTCCAATGGTTTCTTTGCAGAATTCACTTATACTTTTGAGATACGTCTCAGTGACTTTTCCTCCTTGGCACTTTCGGGCTTCAAATTTCATTTGTCATCTATTAATCAGCATATACCTTTTAGAATGAATTGAGTAGACAGTGCTGTTCTTTTTCGGACAGCGTTGACCATAAAATCTATCAATAAACATAAACATTTATTCATTAACATCAGAGTTCATTTGACTTTGCTGGTGCAAGAGGTGTCAAGGGAAAAGGAGCACGTTCACGCGCCGACCAGAAATTGACATTCGATCGGACTAACCAATCTTTTCACCCCTCAAAAGTCGGGTACATGGTACGGACCCGTAAGGGTGAATTAAAGCAATGACATGCTCGTTGACTGGCCAAAGCTAATCATTATATAGGACCCATACGCATATGAAACGACCTTCTGATTCCTGAGGGAAATTCTGGGAAGCATCGCCCAAAAGAATCGGTATAAGTAGACTTTGTCTTCAAGATGCTTCACTTGTGCTAGGAGTGAGTCATCACTTTATAAAGTTGGAGTCATAACCATAGTATCTCTGTATTTGATGCTTACGCCAAGGGATGCAAACGTTTCCAAGAGCAAGAGGCCTCAAAGGTAGCACCAAGGCGTCAAACACTGAGCATCAAAGCGCTGACCACCTTATCTTCCACGAGTCCTTATGATCTTAACAGAACTAGGATTAATCAGAACATTCCAACCCACTACTAAATTTATCTATTCCATTTCTGCCCACGACCACATGTAGTCTGGTCAACCCATTTTCTCTATCTAGGACTCGCTTCTAATGACTTTTCTCATACCCGCGTTTTTTTGTGTCTCTTTCTTCAAAATTGTCGATTTTGAATGGCGCCAAGCCGCCTAGGATAGAAACGTTCTCCTTGCCGATTTGTTAGGGATTGCTAGAGAATAGCAAAAGTCAAAGGTCACAAAAGTCGAATGGATACTGATTTTCTCATCGTTGCTTCATGATTTAAGATTCCTACCGAAAAATGATGCTGTTCCACTTGTCACGCCGATAATTTTTTTTCGCACAGCATTTGATACATCCGTTTCCTTTTCGCTTATTACCCGTACGTCACCATTAATCTTTTCGAGCGTATCTAAGCCTTTCATGGCGAATTTCATATTGTCAACGACTTCAAGGCTTGGGCCTGCAAATTCATTGAAATGATCTACAAATGCACGTAGAAAAGAACTTCATTTTTTGTTTTTTGCTTCACTAGAATCATTTTTCCCTCTCTCTCTATTATTTCTTTCTAAACAGGGTTTGCCTTTGTAGTAGCAGAAGTAAAATTGATAGTCCTGCAGTATACCGATAATTTACTGACCCTTCTTGCCCGGAGAGCCAATTTCTTTCAGGTATGGCAAGAAAGACAGGTCAGAAACTGCACTATTTTCTTTCACAACCAGACGACCACTTATTTTCTCGATCTGAGCCAACTTATCAGAGTGAGGTGGCATATCTGGAACAGTTCTGCTACATTTTGCACAAAAATTCTTTTTGAAAGCATTTCGCCCATTCACTAAGAGGCAGAATTTATTTTGTATTCCCCATGAATCATGCCTCTGCAACATTGCGTACATACATACATACTCCTACAGCAAACGGAAATGCACCCAAGAATTTTTTTAACGAAGGAAGCGCACATGGGAGGGGGCACTCAGACGGGGTGCTGCTATCACGAAGAGCTCTACTGGGGTCACGCGTGNCCCCCCCTCCCAGATGGGGAGCTCAACTATTTTTAAAGTCCACATGAAGGATAACGCAGTAGCACAGCTATAAATATACACATGAATCACTGCAGTATCTTCGTATCTTCGTCCATCACACCTCATCTACGAGTTAGTAGTGCAGCTAGTGCAAGTTATCTCAGTCTTTCTTTCTCCTTCTCTTCTAAGCTCATGATTCCCTGCTCCAGAATGATAGAAAACAACAGTGATTATGTCCACGTCACTTGTAAAATTATATCAACCAATTTTTCTGATGAAGCCTATATTGTCCCGCTTCATAACAAAGCCTTCCTTCCCCACTCCCCACCCTCCCTACTTTAGTTGCTTCCACACATCATCACAGCCAACTGTCGTTCCTTCTACCGGAACTTTACCTGTGTCTATCTGGAGGAAAATCATTGCCTATCTCCACAGGTTTGTTTACCTTTGTGCACCTGACTTCTCTAACATTACTTTTTGCCATTTATGGCCATGAAATGTGTTCGGAGAAAAGAATCCCTTACTCACCTTTTAACCCTTCAATAACAAGATCACCGCTGACCACGTTGCAGTTTTCATCTAAATCATCCAAATATTTGGCATTGAGAGATCCTCCAGGACAGCGAGTTACTAAAAGATGAGGTTTCACTTCTGAGCCCAGTTTTGCTAGGCTTCAATTTTCCGAATTACGTTAGCTCATTCTCTGGCAGTTGAGTTTTTGAGTGTAAAACAAGACTACGAATAAAATCGTCTAGTCAAAAATCAGTACAATTCCGGTCACTGTGAAAATAGAACTTCGGAAAGGGAGATTTGTTTCTCGGCTCAGCCTGGAAGGGTTGTATAACATAACAGAAATGAGTGAAAGCAGGGTTTACAATAAACAAGATTCCTCATCAAATATGGTATCTTCTCGAGTTATACATCGATAGGATCGAAAAGGGTGTTCTGGTGTGCATGTCTATGATAAGGCGTTCACAAGTGACGACGGAGAATGAGAGGAAACCGAAGCTTCAAGGGCCGCGCAACCGCAAGATGTGAAGTTTGATGACCATCTACACCAATTGATTGAAGCAGGCATGGCACCACTCACGCAAATGAACTCTTCCTGACGCTTGTTTCTTTTATGTCTTCATGGAGCGAACACATGGCTATAACTTCACTAATAACGACACATTATATTTGACACCATCTGCCGGGAAGTTTCCAATGAATACTCGTGTACGTGTTACCTCACAGCCACTTTTTTAGTGTCAACGTTGCTACGGTGAGCTATGAGAAGCCATAATGAGTGAACTTACCGCAGCCTGTGGTATGTAATCATGTCTTCGAAAAATACCGCCTGAATATTGCCAACAAATACTAAAGTATAGCCCGAACTAAAGTGACGGTTCCTCCCTCGTACCCGTGATTAGTCACGGCTCAACAATTCTTGAGTCATGGCTACCTATTATATAATTGACCAACTCATAAAATTCTTGGCTCAGTTTGGTTACAAGTGAGAAGATATGAAAGGAACAATAATCTCTATAATTCCCTTCACAACCATTTAGATTTGACGAAACGGTCTCAAATTGTCACCAGTCATTTCGCGAACTTCTACTTCTCAGTGTTAAGCTAATTTTATTGAGAACAGTTGGGCTAACACACATTACATATCCCTGCAGCCTAACCGCCATAAGATCACTCAGTGGAATAATTGCTGTATTATAATAAGATGATATCCTCAGAATTCGAATGCTCTAAGCCACTCCAGCCAGCCAAATTCAGATAAGATCAATGATCTTTTCTGAATTTCTGCCTGAAGGAGGATAGCTGCTCACATGACGATACTGAACCAATCTCCTTTCACCTCTCCTCCCTGACGTTAATCCCGCGCCGTCGTGAGGCCTGCTATTCCTGTCAACTGGCTCTAATTCCTTCTGACTGTGGCATCTTCTGTCGTTACTTTGGTTTCCGCAAGGTGCTTCTTGGTCACGCCTCGCCACTTCTTCTTTAGAGCTCCTCGCGAGCTTATTAGTCCAATGCCTTTTTTACTTAATGATCTTGTGACCTCAATAGTATATGGCCATATCCCTGTCTCACTAATATGTTACCCTTGTATTGTTAGGCCTTTTATGTTTCCCCACATTTTCACCTTTTACTACATGATGTATACTTGATACTTGTGGTTTCCTTTCTTGTGCCAGTGCATCGCATTATCCGTTCACTTCGCTTCTTTGCTTCCGCCCCGTGTCCTCCGGAGCTCGCCGTAGTCGCTTCAGTTTGGACGTCCCCTACTCGCTTGCCTTCTTGTGCTCTTACTCCTTTCGTCCTCGTCGACAAACAGTCACCACTTCGGTCAGAGGGATGGAAGGCCTCAACTCGTGCCCGCGTCAGAATCGAGATATCCTACCTCCAAGCATTCGCCGCCACCCACCTTACTTGAAGGTAGACTTAACCCTCAGGGGCGGTGAGCACCAGGAACCCCACAGCCGCGACAATGTGGGGCTCCAAAAACAACAGTGCGTGACCGCACTGTTGTTTTTGTTCTTGATCCGATCCAGTCGCGTACAACTGTAGGCACATCCTTATTTCAGCGGAACACAGCTGTATTCATGACNTGAAGGTAGACTTAACCCTCAGGGGCGGTGAGCACCAGGAACCCCACAGCCGCGACAATGTGGGGCTCCACCGTTGATGCAATCATCTTGACCGAATACATGAGTCATGAGAGGAGCTGTTTGCGTGACCGCACTGTTGTTTTTGTTCTTGATCCGATCCAGTCGCGTACAACTGTAGGCACATCCTTATTTCAGCGGAACACAGCTGTATTCATGACTTTTACTTACGCGCGCGCACGCGTTCCGCAGAGCACCGTAGGCCTTACCATTGTCCTGAACATCTTTTTTATAGCTCATTGAGCAACGTCGGTCACAGAGAGTGCCGGAGGACTCCATCCATTCTATCCATGCAACGTTTATTCGGGATTGTACAGCCTGAGCACCGCTACTGCAGCGGCTAGACTACCACCTAAGTCTCGGAACTCATGTACCCTTTCAATGCGATTTGCACTGTGCATTCCTCAAAGCTAGAAAACTCAGTTTTTTCACGTTGAGCCGGAGCTCGTTCTTTGTCAGCACCTTCTGCTACTTCTGAGGCTTATTCTGGAGTTTATATTTGCTATCCTCTGCAAGAGCGAACCACTGTCGAATAATACTGATCTATTCTCATCAGACGATGTCAATGTGAAAGCTGTCTTACCTCCCTCCTCTGCTCCCTGAAAGTTAGACCGCCCTAACCGACCGCCTATTAATGAAATGAATCGAATTAGCTCCACCCCGCAACTTGAAGGAGGAGAATTCTGATTCCTACCTCATAATTTCGAAAATTGGTTCGTATGAATGAGGATCTCGATATGAATAGTATTAGTGGGTTTCCTAAGTCATAACACTTCCATCACCATACACTTCATACTCCTCATCTCCCTTAAGATGACCTTTGCGTAGTGACAGAAATAACAAGGGGGACAAACAGACACTTGGAGTATATTATAGTGGAGTACATTACCAGTTGACCTAACGTGTCCACAACCGTTCATCAACGATTTTACCCAAAAAGAACATCGAAACATTTTCATGTTTCGTATACACGACACTTCTTCATCCCCAATTCCCCTTAAGTTTCATTTTTGGAAATTGCGCATTACTACCGTAACATTCAAGAGTGAAGTATTCGTTCAAGAGCGTAGCCATCAATAACATTTATATTGAAAATGTTCTCTTAATTTAATTGAAGGGAATTGTGCACCGGGACGGAGGTGGAGTAGCGGCAAAAGCACTGACTTGTACATCGGCTGGCCTCCACAATTCATTGCATACGCCACATAGGCATTCAATACGTCACTACGATTCTGAATGGAAGTCGAAAACAGTCAGCAGAGCGTTTGATGATGCATGTTACCAATAGATGCTAATGTAAATGTTTTCCTATCCTACATCCTCTGTTCTGTGAGAGTTTGTTCACACCGTGATCTGCTTTCTGACCGCGCCTCCGCGACTTTTCCCAATCTTCATCGCGCCTCTATAACTTTGCGGACTGACACAAACATACACATATGCACATACAAACGCACAGAGTTAGCCCTTTATACATAGAGATATTATATGTATATGAACATATAGTTTGGTGTGACGGTGTGAAGCATGAAAATGTTTGATGAGTAGAGCAATTCTGGTGAGAAATTATGTAGTATATAGGCTGTGAGGTAGAACATAGTGGCGTAATCCTTACTGAGTGGAAACTTCGACATGGTGTGTATGTGTGATACACTCAGACATTTTTGTGTAAGATTCAATTTTAATTCTTAGGAAGCAGTCTCAGCAGCAACTCACGGCATCTTTCGTCCCATGAAATTTTCGATCCTAGTTTGGCCTCGATTTTTTTCCTGATATTAACTGGATGACAAAAACTTGTGTTGTTATGAAACCAAAAGTGCGGTTCTGGACCGGTAACCGTCATCGTCAAAATTTCAGCGATGTGCCTCAACTCTCGGTTGTTGATTATCCTCACAACACGCTCTGAATTGAAAAAAAGGTTTGTCTCTGAAAACTATTTTCCCATGAAATTCGATAAGAAAAATGCTCTTACGCTGCCATCCATCAATGACAAGATTTCTGAGTATGCTCAAGCTCATAGCTTCTATTCCGTTCACAGTTACGGTACCGTAAACTTTGTGTATCCGCTTCCAAACCTCTATCCCCTCATCGTTCGCTGGATATAACAAATCACCAACTAATGCTGAGCAGTCAGTACGTTTCAAAGCCATCTTCATTGTGCAATCTGAAGACATTCTAGAGGCTATAGGATAATGGTGTGTGAGCAGAGAAGGCCTTTCTGCGACAAGGAACCTATGGGATATTGGCGTACTAGGGGAAAAGACCTTGCAGTGGTCGTCTCACCAATTTCCGATAAAAGCCACCTGAAGCGAAGGGCAAACTCTAATATTGGAATAAAGAACAGAAAGAGTCGAAAAAAAGAAAATATTATGTTGAAGGCATAGTTCTCGATATTTTTGAGACATTCAGTTTCTGACAAATAGTGAAAGTGGTAGTCCAGAATGGTGCAGGGCGATGAAAAGGCGAAAATCGGCACATTTGGGGAAATGGAAGGCTTCAAAAGGTAATAAAATCAGAGTTGGACGAGAATATGACAAAGAAAGTTACATGGAAGGTGTATTTGGATGGCTGCCCGAATTTGTGCCCCATTGCGTACAACTGGCTGGGTACAGCAAGAAGCCTCCCTGCAGCGTGTGCGACTCGATTTCAATAGTACAACTTCTACAGCCTCTACAACGCTTGAGAGTTGTCCGCCTTGGGTGTATACGTCGGCTAAGCCAGCTTCGCGGCCCTTAGAACGCCCTATCGAGCCGTTTCTCTTTGACACGACAGCATTCCCTGCGCTGTCCCTGGGTCTCGCATATTCATTTTGGGAAAAAATCTCAAAACCCATCTTCATCGTGTACTGTGACTTCGGAAAAATAGTTGGAGAATTTACTCTCGGATTCAGAACAGCAAGTCTACCGATGCATCAGAGGCGTGTAGGATCATTCGGGAATTACCTTATAATGAGATTAGTACCCCGTGGGGAAGGCATGTAAGGAAGGTAGGAGAAAGGTAGTCTATTCACTGCCGAGAAAGCAGGGTGCCTAAGAAAATAGATGGAGAATGCCTCTAATCAACACCTCTTCCTTGGAAGTAAGACGAACTAACTGTAAGGGGATAACAGAAATTAAGGTTCAAAACGTTATCGTAACAATAGTATAAATAGGCGACCTACCTTGCGGAGTGCCAGTGTCTACCTTGAATGGTGCACCGATAACACCTTCGGGTTCCAGCTTCTCATTAGCTCTGATAAAGATTTCCTAGAGGCAGAAAAACTTATTTTTCAAACTGCTTCTGATCTGTCTGCTTACATCCGAAGTGGAGTTAACTCTCTCCTGGCATTTTGATCTTAAGATTGACAAAACTGGAAGGACGTGGTTGCTGAGGATGGAGAGAGACACAGACACTTTCTGAATAATCCTTTTCCCGATATTCATTAATCAGCCCTGCTATTACGATTTCGATAGCATGTGGAAGCGGCTGCTCGAATAGAGAGTGCCACAACGTGGACGATTGCGCTGCTGCATAAAAAGGGAGATCTCGACAATAATGGCTTGCTCAGTCTGCCTGTTGTCGGATGATCTGAACACTATTCATACGACTCATCCTTGTAAGAATTAGCATAATACTAGCTAAGGGGAGCTATGCAAACAAAGTTTTGGAAGGAGCTCACTACACTCGGTCTTATCCACAATCCCTCAGGACTTACTGAAGTATCGCGAGAGCATAGAACTGCTCTCATCTCATTGAGAAAGACCCCGGTATCCAGGCAATTTCTTCTCGAGACATAAGAATGGTTCGTGAGCTCTATGACAGCCTTGACCAGGATTTCGATATCCTACGAAGAAGTCATTGACCACATCAAATGTGGACTTTGGTAGAGTTATACCATTTCGTAGCTATACTCTCTTGTTCGAATTACTGAGCGGAGCTCTCGAGAACGTCACCCTTTCATTTGAAAGGGAAGACCCTAAAGTGACGGTCCGCAGTATACCTAAATCTCTCCGCTTTCCCGGCGACTTTGTTTTCGCACCACCGAACATTGAACAGGAACGAATAGTTGCCGAATTCGACACGCTTGTGAAAAGACGGCACGAAACCTAACGAAGAACATGGAAAGGGAGGTACCTGGTGCCCATTTTACGCTTTTACGCTGAACGATGCGAATATGTATACTTTGGCCATGGGTATCTGGGTCAACGTAATGAACGTCATATCTAGGCATCTGAGAAGGAGGGAAGCACGGCACGGGGAGCTTTATAGAACGGGGAGGGAGTAGTGAAGAAAACAAAGAACATCCGATCTCAGAACGTCACCTAATCATCAATCAATAACATACCTCCCGTTTTATATTCATATTTTTCCGAAGGGATATCCGTTTCAGATTTTCGTTTCCATATACCATTAAGCTGTATTTGTATTCTGAATGTTCGAACATCATGTTTATAAAGGAGTCGAACTCACAGTTTCATACCACAAAAATCATTATTTGCATGCAAGTTCATCACAGAAGCGAGTGGTATTGACTCGAGCTTGTCGAGATTAGCCATAATTATGCAGCCTGTGAAGTTCCATATTTGCTGAAAAAAATTGTGCTATGCTCTCAAAAGTTGTATTTTGGCCATGTGAAGTGGAATATGGTGGAATGGCCAATAAAAGCATCTTATCAAGCACAAGCAGAAGCCACCTTGTTTCTTAATTCCTATCATAAACCTTCTGTATGCTCCATACTAAAGTTAACAGGGGCAGTAGTAGTAGTAGTAGCGATAGATTCAGAGATAACGGCAGGTCAATATGTACATATACATACCACACAAGGGATCCTCTTATAATAGATTACGACTACTGTGGCTGGGTAAGAGGCTATTGGCAAGGTTACTTCGAGTTTTGAGTTAAGATCGATGTCCAACGAGACGGACGAATTAATTTTTTCGGTGGTTGACTAATGTCAAGTA